CAGGAGGACAACCCCCAGCTGCTGGAGTACGTCTCCACGGAGCCCACGACACCTCACCGGGGCCAGGCCCAGGTCATTTTCCGTAGCACAGAGTGCCTGAGGGGGCAGGACAAGGGCAGCAAGTTCTCCCCGTTCAGGTAGGGGAGCGTCTCAGGCGGGGCTGGAGGGGGGCGTCACCTGGAGCTCTCCAGACGGGTGACGGGCGTTTGCTCTCTGCCAGGCTGGATGCCCATGGAGTCGGCCCAGAGGCGGTCCTGATGGAGACCCTGCTGCTGCCTATGGGGCGCACCATGAGTCAGGAGGAGGTGCAGGTGCTCATGAACCAGACTGTGCAGCAGGTCCTCGACACCCTGAGTGTCTCAGCTGATAGAGCCCAGCATCTGCTCATTCACTGCAAGTGGAACATGGACCTGCTGATCGAGCGCTACACCGAGGACCCCGAGCTGCTGCTGATTTCCTCAGGGCTGCAAGTGCAGAACCCCCAGCCACCCCCGAGTCCCGTCACCCACTGTCCGGTGTGTGTGAGCCAGCTGTGCCCGGACGACAGCCCTCCCACCCTCTGCTGCATGCACTACTGCTGCAAGGTGAGGGGCCTGGGGGCTGGCAGCGTCTATGACAGAGGGGAGGGCCCTGCTCCCAGGAGGAGGGACGCAGCTGTCAGGGGAGGGTCCCAGGGGCACACCGTCACCCCTCTTTCCCTGGCTTCCTTGTGTTCCTGGGCTTGTTCCCAGTTTTCAGGTGTGGCATGATTCTGGTGCCACTCCGCCTGCAAGGCAAATTCCTGAGTTTGTCAAGCTGGGAGCGGCCCCTGACGAAGGGAGGGGGCTCACCAGGCGGGTCTGTGCCCTGGGGTGGGCACGAGATGTACTCTCTAGATCTGATCTTGTTCCCCCTCCCCAGTCCTGCTGGAATAAATATCTGACGACTTGCATCGAGCAGAACCTGGTTCAGAATTGCACCTGTCCCATCCCTGACTGCCCTGCGCAGCCCACCACGGACTTCATCCGCTCCATCATCTCCTCCCAGGAGGTCATTGCCAAGGTGGGTGAGGTCACCACTGGGCATGGGCCATGTCTAGTCCGCCCTGAGCAGGTGTGTCAGGGAACGCGCTTTGTTTCTAGGCCACCGCCTTTCCCCCCTCCCTGTCTTGGAGAGTGGTGGGGCCGAGAGCTACCCAGGAGAAACCTGGTGCCTTTGAACGAATGAATCCTCCCCTGTGCCGACTGGCTGTTTGCTCCCCTGCCCTCCCTCACGCTCTTCGCGCTGCCCTCCGTGCCCTCCTCCCTTTGTGCCCCCCTGCCTCCGTTCCTGTCGCTCTGTGCATCTAATCCCCTTCCAACCCAAACCAGAAACCAACTGCGAGAGAACGATGGCACTCCCTGTGCAGAAACGAAAACAGCTCCTCTCCCGCACGGCACATCAATCCAAACAGTACGTGGCTAGAGTGTCCCTGTGTTACGAACATGAGCCCCCAATTCTCAGACACCCCCTCTGCCCAGTTACCTCCACCCCACCTTGGAAAGCCATTCCACCCTTGGACAAAGCCCTCAGCAGGCGAAACCAAGGTGGGTTGGCTTCTGATTCGCAAAGAGGGAGGAGTCAGGGTCAGGCTCCCAATGGAAGGCTTGTCTCAACATGAACATCTTTTCAGAACTGGGCTTTCCTTCCTCTTCCAGAAATGACTGGTGGCCTGGTGGGGACCCCTTCCCCTCCTCCCCATCTACAGAATTATCAAACGCCTGTCCGCGTCCCTGTTGTCCAAGGAAGTATGGCATGGCTAGATTTGCGGAGAGCTATTTTAGTTTCTGCACAATTTCTGTGGGAGTTCCTGGCAGAGAGATCCTGGAGGCAAGGGTCGCTGGGCCAGGAGCAGAGAGGGGGTGTCTAAGGTACGGCTGTTTGAGTCTTAGCTGGGGGAAACTTGGGATCTGCTCACTCAGCCCTTTGGGAGGCATTTCTTGCTCGGATTTCCTTTGACATCCAGGCAGCTGCTGTTGGTGGCTCGACTGGTGCCCAGATGTTTCTCTCCGTGCTGACTTTCTCTCCGGGAGCGTGAGTACTGTCCTTGTTATGATTGGGAACAAGAGGAAGTTCCTTAATTGCATGGAAGGAGAGGTTTCTATTCCTGCTGCTTCTGGATTCCCAAAAAGAGAGGCAGGTCTTTGACCCATTCTGGACTTCAGAGTGTTCAACGGATTTGTCAAGAAAATGAAGTTCAGGATAACCACCCTTGCTTCTGTTATCCCTTGCCTGGAGAGAGGCATGCTGCAGGTTGAGGGCAGCATACCAGCTTCCACGTGGCAATACAGCCGGACCACAAGAAGCTTTTTTTCAATTCACAGTACACAGTATGCACTGCCAGTATATGGTCCTGCCCTTGGTCTAGCCTCAGCCGCGTGGGGATTCACAAAGCGCATGAAGGTGGTTGTGGCCCATCCGTGCCATCTTGGAATTCAGATATTTCCTTACCTGGATGATTGGCTAGCTCCAGAAGATCGAGGTCACGTATCCAGAACAGCTTTCTTGTTATCAGATGTCTGTTCTCTGGTCTAGGTCCAAAACTGGACCTAGAAAAATCAATTTTACAGCCTCGACAGAGAATACATTTCACAGGGTGGGCCTTGACAACACGTCTGCCATGGCTTACCTTCCAATGGACAGGTTCCAGGATATAGTCCCTACAGCTGAGAGTCTCACGTCCACTCTGCAAACAACAGTGTGTGAGAGTCTGCAGCTCTTGGGACACATGGCCTCATGCACGCACATGCCATGCTTTACTTGAGATGTCTGCGAACCTGGTTTCATTCAGTATATTCCCCAAACCGACATTCCCTGGGCATGCGGGTGTGCGTACCGCACGAGTGCTTCCGTCTCTAAATTGGTGGATAGAGCGGTAGAACGTATGCAGAGGAGTTCCATTCCTGCCATCAGAACCCACTGTGATGTTCTCCTGGCGTTATCTGGACCGGTGAGCTGCTAGGTCACTCCAGTACTCGACTCTGGGAGCCAGCCTCACTCTGCTCTGCTGTGAGAACCCCCACTCCTGGGCTGTTCACGCACAGCCTCTGGCATGTAAGCTGCTCCCAGTTATGCGAGTGAGCACTTTTGGCCAGCCGCTGCTTGGATTGTGCAACCGAATGACACTAGTCAGTATGTCCAGTCCCAGACACAACCCTAGGAACCTCCATCTTGCAGTGTCCAGTTATACCCGCTGGACGCTGCAAGCTTATATGAGTTCGTCAATTTAACAAAGAAATTGTTATGTACCAAGCTTGTTATCCCAAGGGGAGTCTCTGACATGCTTCAGACCAAATCCACTGCTTCAGGTAGACTAGACAAACAAATGTATTAACTACAAAATATAGATTTTAAGTGATAAGTCAAAGCACAAGAAGTCAGATTTGGTCAAATGAAATAAAAGCAAAACGCATTCTAAGCTGATCTTAACACTGTCAACGTCCTTACAAACTTAGATGCTTCTCACCACAGGCTGGCTGGTTGCCCTTCAGCCAGGCTCTCCCCTTTGATCAGCACTTCAGTGGCTTGGTGTGGTGTCTGTAGATGTAGGTGGAAGAGAGAGAGCATGGCAAACGGCTCTCCCTTTTATCATGTCCTTTCTGCCCTCTTGGCTTTGCCCCCCACCCTTCAGGGTCAGGTGAGCATTACCTCACTGTAGCCCCAAACTGACCAAAGGAAGGGGGGTGACTCACTAGAGAGTCCAACAGATCCTTTGTTGCTGCCTAGGCCAGCGTCCTTTGTTCCTGTGAGGCTGGGCTGGGTTTGTCCCATACCTGCCCTGATGAGGTATGAACTGCCCCTCTGCTCTTGGAGAGTTTTGCCTGGGCCTCTGTTCCTGGAGCGTTTTTGCCTGGGCTTGTTCTAAGCCATGAGGAAAACATTTTCAGCCTCATAACTATATACATGAAATTACAACCTATAACATTACATATAACAACAATGCTCAGTGCATCATGAGCCTTCCGAAGACACCTGACATGACAAACTTTGCATTGGATGCCACACAATCGTATTATAAGGATGAACATGGGGGTGCTGGGTGTTTCCCCGAGGTACAGAGCATCACACCCACCTTACACAATAGTCTATAAGGACAAAATCTCGCTACAACTACACCAAAATTCATTCCTAAAGTAGTTTCAGGATTTCATATAAACCTGTCAGTTCACTTACCTGTGTCTTTCCTAAAGCCGCATGCATCTAGCAAAAAAAGGAGACTTTGTTTGGTTCACGTGAGATGAGCCCTGGCATTGTACCTTCCGAGAACAGACCGGAACAGAGAGCCACCTAGACTTCCTGCTGCCGTAGCAGAATGAGTACGAGCTGTGTCCTCTGAGAATATCGAAGTGGATCTCCGGCTGTATCCTGTTATCAGCTGGGAGTAAGGGCTCCCTCTGCAGGGTTGCAAGCAGCCTCAGCAGTGTCACCTCAAGAGGTGCCCCTTGCTGTTTGCAGGTGAGCTACATGGAGTTCCACCTACACATTCACGAGACGTTTCACCTTGGTCCAAGACTCCTCAGCTGACGTCCTTGGGCACCACAAGCAGCTATATCTTCTTCTTTAGTGTCCCAAGGGGTGCGCCACTTCAGGTGTGCACGCGTCCTGATCGCCTTAGATTGGAGATCCACGCGTTAGGTAGCTGTGCCTGTTGGGTCTGCACATGCCCTCTACTCTGCCTCGTGCTCTGCACCATGGCCACATAGAGCTCCACGGGCGAACCGCCCTCAGTTCCTTCTCGGGCCGAGACTGAGCCTCAGCAGTGACCCGGCTGAGCTGAGCTCAACTGTCCTTTTTTGTTTTGTTTTTCTCCTAGTTTTACTTCGCTTAGTTAAAAGCAACAGAGGGTCCTGTGGCACCTTTAAGACTAACAGAAGTATTGGAGCATAAGCTTTCGTGGGTGAATGCCCACTTCGTCAGATGCTGGCACAGAGGACACTTGCGTCTGATGAAGTGGGCATTCACCCACGAAAGCTTATGCTCCAATACTTCTGTTAGTCTTAAAGGTGCCACAGGACCCTCTGTTGCTTTTTACAGATTCAGACTAACACGGCTACCCCTCTGATACTTGGCTTAGTTAGCTTCAGTAGTTAAATCATTACACAAACCACAAGATTTGTTGTAAAGCCCGTTGTCCTTTCAGTTTTTTCCCTGAGGGGAACTTTAGAGTGCTGGGAGGTATGCCAGGTTTTAAACATTGCCTTTCATGCCAGGATGCTCTCCCGCTGAGCGGCGGGCACTCCTGGTGTGTCTGTTGCCGCGGGGAGTCCCACGGCGCCCCCCCCCATTTAATTTTTGCCTGGTTGTAAAATTGAGAGACAGAAAGAACCAGGAGATTAAATTGCACCTCCGAATGGCTTCTGACCCGTGCACCAGTCTCCGAGCAAGTCAACCACATCAGCACAGCGCTCCTCTAGAGCTTCTAAGAGGAACTCAAGAATCCTCTCAAAAAGACACTAGGAAACAGAGCTTGGGTTCCCTAGTAGGGAATCTATCTCAAAGAAACCCTGATCACAAATCAAGACAACTGCTTCAGCACCCACTGGTTCCCGACTCTGCACCCACAAGGCTGCAGTTTTCTCAGGTACTGTGAGCACCATTAAACCCAAAGAAAGTAAGGGTCCCAGCTCAGGGAAATGGTCAGTACCATCGGGGTTTGAGGTGACAAGGAGAAGGCTACTCTTAAGTTGGTACCAGTAGAATCAGCCAAGCCGTCGGTACCATCGTAGACCAGACTGTCATTTAGCAGACACTCCTTGGAGCTCATAAAGCTTATGGCACTGTCAGCTCCCTGTCCCACAGTAACATCTGCCCAGGCTGCTGTCTTGGTACCAAGCACTTGGGTACTGCAGGAGTTTAGATTTTCATGAGACCTTGTGGCAACAGAGATGCCTGACTCCCCTTTGCTTGGTACCGATCTGTTCCAAGGGCCTCTAGATCCCTGGACATTCAACCAGTACCAACAGAGTCACCACCTTTTTCTACCAGTGCTCTTTCAAGAGACTGTCTAAAGCAGGAAATAGATGCTTTCCTGAATGGAGTTGCACCCTGTAGGATTCTGTATTGGTGAAGGAACCAAGGGCCAGCTTACCTCTTTATGCCCTGGGGTGGGGGCATGTGAGGTCCTTGGGTGCAGGCATGGCCCCAGCGAACACTGCTGGCCGAAGTACTCGGTTCATCTGAAAGAGCCACCGTTCCTGTAAGGGAAATAACATTCCTGCAGGAACTTTGTTCGCTCTAGGCGTGTCAAACAGAAGCCATTCAGCCCTGATGCACAAGGGGGTCTCTCCTTGTTTGCAGAAGTAGAACAGTATCCAGCAATAAGTGCCACTTGCTTTCTGCCTTTGTATCCAGATTCCTTCCTGCCTCCCTTTGCCTGGGCACTGAGCCAACCCCCCCAGTCAGATGGGTCTGTCCCGTCCGTAGCCTATTGCGCTGATGGGTAAAGAGTGGCTGCTGCTGAATGTCTCTTTCATCTGTCCTGTTTCTTGGTGCTTTGGGTTATGTTCTCTCTGCATCCCTGGAACTGTCCTCTTGGTGCTGGATCCTGTTCTGCCTCCTGTGCAAAGCCAGAAGCTCACTAAGCCCCTCAGCCGTCGCCCATTCCCCGCTCCAGCTTGCCAACGCCGTTTTTTCTTTCCCTGAGAGAATTTGACAGGACCATCCCTGTTCTCCAGACAGAGGGCTTCTCTCCAGGATGGCATCGTTACAAACTCCGGCGTGTTTGGTGCTGGCTTGAAAGCTCTAGGGAATCAAGTCTTCTGGTCTCAGAAGCTGTCCAGCGTGGCCGGTGACATGGCAGGTTTTCCGCACACTCTGCTCTTCACCAGTGTGCCTCTTCCTAGCCGTGAGAGTGGCTCATTCAACCCCTGGCTCCTCTGCTCAGATGGCCAGGCTGCGTCAGCTGGGCAGATGGTTTTGGTGACGTGTGGCATAGGGCACTAACTGATGGCCATAGCCTGTTCCTTCTGCGCAGGGCTGCCTTAGAGGGGAAACCCATGGCCCTTTCCCCCGAGCCAGCCAGCTCTTTGGGGATCTTCTGCTGGTTTGACCTCCCTGTTGAATTACACCAAAGCCTTTGTTACGCTCCATCCTCCAGTCGGCCCCGGTGCCCTTTCCTCTACACCTGACTCTCAGGCAGTGTGTCTACAGCTGCTTAATCCTCCTCCTGTATCCGCAGTAAGTGTGTGCATGTTGCAGGATCCCTCGGGGCTATATTGTTTCCCATCCTTGTGAACCTAGTCCGCACCCTGGTGAGTATTTTGCACGGCCCTTACTCCAGAGAAACCTACCCATCGAGGCAGATTGAGAGCAGAGCTGCCGTGTGCTCCATGGCTGTCCCGACAGCAGTCCTAGGGCCTTTGCCGGGGAGCGTATTGCTTTCTATTTGTAGGACGGTAGTGTCGGCCAAAATTGGGCCCCTTTGTGCTGGGCCTAGTGCGAGGCAGGGATGTCCCGGCGAGCTTACGACAATCTAAACCAACATGACGGATGCAGGGTGGGAGAAAGGAAGCATCATTGTCCCTATTTTATGGCGGGGGGCTGAGCCGCAGAGGAGGGAAGTGATGTGCCCATGGTCATGCAGTGAGTTGGTGGCAGAGGTGGGAATTGAACCCACAGCTCGTGAGTCCCAGTCTGGTGCCTTAACCACATGATCATTTTCCTCCTCATGCACCTCTGCCCTCATTTCTCTCTCTGCAGTACGAGAAAGCTCTCCTGCGAGGCTACGTGGAGTGCTGCTCCAACCTGACCTGGTGCACCAACCCCCAGGGCTGCGATCAGGTCCTTTGTAAGGAGGGACTCGGCTGCGGAGAGGCCTGCTCCAAGTGCTGCTGGATATCCTGCTTCAACTGCAATTTCCCAGAGGTACAGCTGAGGTTTGCTCGGCCGCGGGCCTGTCGTCATGCCGGCTCGCTACTGCCTTCCCGCTCCCCCATGACTCATGCTCTGTCCCTTGCAGGCTCATTACCCGGCCAGCTGCAGCCACATGTCCCAGTGGATGGATGACGGTGGGTACTATGAAGGGATGACGGTGGAAGCCCAGAGCAAACACCTGGCCAAACTCATCTCTAAGCGCTGCCCCAGCTGCCAGGCTCAGATAGAGAAAAACGAGGGCTGTCTACAGTGAGTATCTTTCCTCATTTGGGAGCTGGGCCAGGAGGAGATGGGAGGGATCCAGGCAGGTTTCTGGGGCACTTCAGAACATAAGAGCGGCCAGACCGGGTCAGACCAAAGGTCCATCTAGCCCAGTATCCTGTCTACTAACAGTGGCCCATGCCAGGTGCCCCAGAGGGAATGAACAGAACAGGGAATCCTCAAGTGATCAATCCCCTGTCGCTTAATCCCAGCATCTGACAAACAGAGGCTAGGGACACCATCCCTGCCCATCCTGGCTGATCGCCATTGATCCTCCATGAATTTCTTGAGTTTCTGTTTTTGCTGGTCCTGGCTTGGCTTCAAGGAGATGAGCGTCTGTGCTGTTGTCTTGTTACCCCATTGGACTGCTGAGCTGCTCTGGTTCATGGGATCTGCGGAGCCCTTTGCTGATCCCAGGTCCTCGATGGCCAGAATGAAATCCCCCGATGGCTCTGCAGTGCTGTACGTGATATAAGTGGGTGGGGCTTGGTCTGGTTTTCAGTGGACAGTTGCCCACCTCACCACTACAACTGGGACATGGCTTGGTCTGCATGCTGGAGCACAGGAGATGCTCAGCTCTGCCACTGTTCTGTTCGGGTGACTTGCGCCAGATCACCCATATTCTGTGCTTGCTTGTCCTGAATGATCAGGAGAGCAGTGTTCTGGCACTAGGTGCAAGTGGCTGATACAATAAGGGGGTCATTGATGTCTGAGCAGAGAGGATGAAACTTCCCGTGGGAAGAGCGCAAGGTGCCATGCAGTAACGGCATCCGTGAAGGATGTTGAGGGGTTAAGCACCCTGTCTGACAGCTGAAGTGCTGAGGATCACCTGGCCCGGCCATGCGATCTCGAGCGAGCGGCCTTGGGAGAGGGGTTTGCAAGGCAGAGTGCCGAGGGAGGACGAGGAGACAGTGAAGCAGTGAGACTCGTGAGCGACGCAGGCCCCAGAGAGCTGCCTCTGTGGATAGGGCAGTGCTTTGAGATTCTGCAGGATAGAGTTGCTCATGCCATTTTTTACCACCCTGTCCAAAGCTCTGTGTTCATCACAAATTACACGAAGAAAACGTCCGACTCCACCTCACCGATTTCTGCTCCGAATGAGAAACCGACCCGCAGAGCACGGACATTGTCAGCGCTGCTAGGCACAGGGGCGACAGGTGTTCTCCTTCCAGTACTATCAGTGCAGATCCCTGCTCTGTGCACTGCCCAAGGCACGGAACCCTCTGACCTTTGGGGCCATGTGGCCTTTGCCTGGCGCTGTGGCGCGCTCCATGGTAAGCTATGTTCCTGCCTCCCTTGGTTCCTTCCCACACCAGACCAGCAAGTTGAAACTTCCTCTGGTTTCTCAACTTCCTACTCGTTGGACACTTCTTATGTTTGCGCCTTAATTAGGAGCTAGCTTCAGTGTAAACTGTTAGCACAGCGATAGAACTAGTGTGTGGCGTGGGTATGTTTTTATGAGTTTCTTAATTCTGACTCACCCTCCCTCTCTAGCCTCTTTGAGGTAGTTTTGGTGTTTTTGCTGTAGGGGCAAATAAGGAAAACTCTAGGTTTCAGGACTGATTTTCAAGAAGTCCATAATAGACCCCCAACTGTTTAATTCAGAGCCCTACGTCTAGGAACAAAGAATGTAGATCCCCATACAGCACTGGGAGACTGTCTTCTGGAAAGCAGCAAGTCTGGAAAGGACTTGAGGGTCTTGGAGGAAATCAACCGTACACATGCCCCTAGCGTGATGTTGTGACAAAAAGTCTGTGGGTCCTTACGTGAATAAATGGGAACACAGAGGAGGAGTAGGGAGGTGGCATCACGTGTGACTAGGGGGCTTCTGAGACCATTCCTGGAAGCTGTCTGTTCATTTCTGGTGTCCACACTTTAAAAGGAGGTTGACCGAAGAGCTGCCAGAGCTATTTGAGGCCTGGAAAACCTGTCTCCCAGTGAGAGACGAAAGCAGCTCAGTCTGTGTGTAGGGGATTAGAGAGAGAGCGCCTACACATACCTGCCTGCAGAGGTGATTTCTGATGCTAGAGGGCTCTTTAATTCAGCAGAAGGCAGCACAAGATCCGGTGGCTGGACGTTGAAGCTCAAAGCAAAACATTCAAATGGGAGATAAAGCATCCTTTTTTGCGGGTAGTTAACCCTTGGGACTAAGGGCTGGATTCTCCATCACTTGGCATCGTGCCATCAAGATTGGGTGTCTTCTAGAAGTCATGCTCTAGCTCCGCCACAGGTCAGGGGGCAAAGCTATTATTTGAGAGTCTGTGTGTTCCCACTTACAGGAATGGTGCCCTGGTCCCTTGAGTCTGCAGTGTCCATTGGGCTGCACGCTCTTTAGTGGCATTGAACGTTCAACACCCAACATTACTTGGCATGCAGCCCTCAGCTGCCTCGGTTCCTTCGCAGCCACCGCAGAGAGTGCAGAAAACCCGTCCCGGATAAATAAACCTGCTAGTCCCCTGACCTGAGGGTAGCTTTTAGTGGCTTTGCCATGGTTCCACACTGAGGGCCGGAACTGAGCCCCAGGAGGGGTTCAGAAGACGTGCTACTTGTCCAGCCCTTGAAGCCTGATGCATGTGTTGGGAGCCTGGTCTGTCTGAGGGAAGTGCACTCCCTGGCATACTGCTGAGCATTTGCTTCTGGAGCGCCGTGAGATGGTCTCTGGGGCTTCAGCCTTATTGTACCAACAGGGAGCTGAAAGGTCTGGACTCCGAACAATACCCAGAACAACCCTCATCAACTCCTAGACCCACTATGACTAAGTGGGCAAAGCTGTTGCCTCCACACTCAGATATTGTCTCCCAAGGCCCATTCCTTCCTCTGGCTTCAGCCTGGCTTCAGCTGACATCTCGGTTATTGAAAAGAAAGCCTTAACAATGCTCCATCAATCTGCCAGAGGCATCCAGATTTTGCTAGCACCCAAGAGAGCCTCATACTCCTCCATCTGGTCCAGGTTTAGTGGCTGGTGCCAAGAGCATGGGGTGGACCCCAAGAAACGGGCGATTTCAGCCATTTTGGACATTCTCCAGGAAGGCCTAGACAAGAGCCTTCAATCCAGCACCACAGCTCACCAAGTTTCTGCTTTCAGGAGCATCTTTTTTATGGGGTCTGCGGGATCCTTGGCAGAGAACCCCCAGACCTCCAGGTTCCTCAGAGCGGTCAGGCCAGTCTTCCCAAAATGGGATCTGTCGCAGGTTTTGAAGGCTCTAACAGATCATCCCTTCAAGTCCCTGACTTCAGTGTCCATAAAAATCCATTTTCTTGTCGCTATCACATCTGCTAGATGGGTATCAGAGCTGGCGTTATTGTCTGTGCAGGAAACAGGGTGGTGCTGAGAACTAGAGTCCTTTCTTCATGAAGTAAATTCTCCCTTTCGGCGTTCCCAAGAAGCCGTCCATCCTTCGTTCTGTCTGAAGCCGCAAGATCTGGTAAAGGAATGGCACATCCCAGAGCTCAGGAAAGTGGTGGAAATCTACATCAAGCGCATAGAATCCACAACGAGGTCAGGTGCCCTGTTTGTGTCCTTCCAGCCTAAATGTCAAGTTTCCAAGTTGTCCATGGCTAGGTGGCTTCTGCTCTGTATCGTTGAGGCCTACAAGGCATCAGAAACCCGGCTCTGGAGGGTGTCCGCGCATTCCATGAGAGCTCTAGCTGCCTCGTGGATGGAACGAACGAGATATTCCACATTGAACATCTGCAGAGCGGCCACCTGATTGCCAGCCAGCACCTTCATCAGTCACAAGAAGGTGGACTTTCTGTCCTCAGCAGAGGCTTCCTTCGGCAGGCAGGAGCTGCAGGCGGTGGCCCAAAAATGATGACCTTTGAGCAATTCTTACCAAAAAGGGTTGTCCCCGTTTTTTTCCCCCTCTTCTGTCTCATTGCTGGATTTCTTACCTTCCCCTCCCAACCTCCGTTCACTGCTTGCTACTTCCCTGACATCTCAGAATTGTGGGAGACGCTGGGCTGCAGAATGGAAGATTATTATTATTATTATTTTTTAACAGATAACATCCTTTCTGCTGGCAGCATCTCTCACAGTTCTACCCACCCTGCAGGACATTATGCCAAAGGGTCTGGTATTTTCTTTGTGCTGGATTGTTACGATGCAGGCCGTATGCCGGTTCTCCAGAGCTGCTGTGCTCCCATGGAAGTTGTAGATCTCTTTCTACGAGTTCTGTACAGCTTTGGAATGACTCATCTGGCAGCAAGCAAGAGCAGGGGGGTGGCCAGTGCTTGTGACGCTGCAACTTTGGACAGCCTCTGTGAACAACAGCGCAGAGAGGAGCAGCCGAAGTGTCATGGAGTTGTGAGAGACACTGGTAGCAGAAAGGAGATTATCGTTAAGAAACCTTCCAATTCCTTGTCCTCCTTCCCCTCCACCGCACGTGCTTATTCGTTACACTCTTTCGCTTCAGTCTAAACTAAACTCTTTGGGACAGGGTCTGTCTCTATTTTTGTACAGCACCCTGGGTCCTCTGAGCAACTGTGATAGAATAAAAATAGTGGTTTGTGTGTGAGGGAAGCGTGCAGAGCTGAACACGTGAGACTCAGCCGCCCCCATACGCCAGCAGTGCAGCCACATTCCAATGCCCAGGGACCGGGCGGGTGTCTGCAGGGATTGGGACTGTTTGCTACTGCACCTTATATCAGACCAACTCCAGCTCCCCTTCTCTCTTCTTCCTGTGCAGTATGACCTGTGCCAAATGCAACCATGGATTTTGCTGGCGTTGTCTCAAGCCCTGGAAGCCAACGCACAAGGATTATTACAATTGTTCTGCCATGGTGAGTGTTTGCTGCGTGCAAGCGGTTTGGATACTCCTTGGGGTGAGGACAGACTTCGGGACTCTGGGGATCTCCTCTCGTGCTAAGCCTGTGGCATTTGGTGGTTGTGGGCCATGCATGTTGTGGCCCTCTTGTGTTGACCCCCCATGGAGAGATCTGCCACTCAGGGTAACTGCTGCCTTTCCCTGCAGGTGAGCAAAGCAGCTCGGCAGGAGAAGCGTTTCCAGGACTACAATGAGAGGTGCACTTTCCATCATCAAGCGAGGGTAAGGGCTCCTCCTCCCACACTCCGGGCACAGGCCCTGCCTCCTAACCCCAGGTGCCCACGGCAGGCGATTCAGAATCTAGTGTGGCTGGAGTTGAGGACTGGGCTGCAGATCTGTGTGGTGGAGTTGAGCGTGTCCCCCTCCCCCGTGGCGTGTGATTAAAATTCTCTCGCAGTATGCTCCTCTCTGCCGACTCTGATTGGGAGCGTGGGGATGAGGCTGGTGGGGTGGCAGAGAACAAGTCAGGTCCAGTAAGGACTTAGACTTCTGTGGAGGCCACTGGTAGGGGACAGAAGCTGCTGGAACTTTGCTGCCACTGCTCCTCGAAGACCTTGCCAAGAAAAAGGACAGGATTGGCCTGGTAGCTGCCTGCCATGGAGCACTGTGTAAGCTCATGGGCATTAGCTCTTCATTAGACTTCACCAGCTATGAGGGGCGGGATCAGTTTTCACAGGTGGTCAGCCAGGCATTCCCCAGCAATTCTAGGTGCAGATTCCATCATGGCAGGCGAGATGGAGACGGGTGGTGTCGCTGGAGGCACCTCGGTCTCAGCAAGGCACAATCGGTCACAAGCTCTTTGCGTTGAGCAGACTCCGGATCACTCAGCCCAGCTCACCGAACAGAATAGCTGGGCTGGCGGTGTGATCGTAAAAGGGACGAGGCAGAAACCTCCCTGAACCTGGGAGCTCAGTCCTTCGTAAAGAAGAGGTGGGGAGGAGGGGCGACTGATCCCTTCTGGCCGGGGGAGGGATCTGGAAGCCAGTGGAGGGTGAAGCCGGGAGATGACTTTGCTCTTGGTGGTTGTAGGAATTCACTATGAACCTAAGAAACCGAGTTTCTGCCATCAGCGAGGTGCCGCAGATTCGAACCTTGACCTTTGTTGTGGATGCCTGCAAAGTCCTGGAACAGGCCCGGAAGGTAAATGCGTGAGGAGCAGGAGACTGATTGGCTTTATTTTGAGGTATCACAGCAGTGCTCAGGGACCCCGTGGTGCTGGGCACTGTACAAGTGGGCACTAAGAGACGGTCCATGCCCCAAAGAGCTTGCAGGCCAAATAGCTAAGATGGACACAGGCTTGGAGGGGGAATGGAGGCACAGAAAGGGGAGTCATTGGTCCAGGGTCATGCAGCAGGGCTGGGACTAGAACTCAGGTCTCCCGAGTCCTGGTTGGTGTCTTAACTACTAGACCAGGCTGACCTGCCATAGACACTGGAGAGGGGAAAATCCTATTAAATTACCTCGTCCATGCCTAGTGTCAGTGCAGGGGTGTACCTAATAGCCTTCACCAGGGCTTTGCCCTGTCCACATTGAAATTTCCCAAATGATGGAACTTCCCTGGGTATGAACTTGGAGGGTTGTTGGGTATGGGTGGGAAAAGTATGGAACAAGTTTTTGTGGAGGGCGAGGAGGGATTGTTAGGGAGCTTCCCCCATGCAGACCCTGGCTGAACCCTAGCCTTTCCTGTTCAGTCAGGCACATCTGTTCCTGTCCCCATGTGTCCCTCCACCCCCACTCAGACACCCCCTCCCCCCTCCTCATGTGGCCATGCACCCCCTCCCCCGTCCCCGTGTGTCTCTGTGCCACCACCCCACTCCCCATGTGTCTCTGTGCTCCCACCCAGCCACCCCCTGTCCCTATGTAGCTCTGCACCCCGTCCCCATGTGTCTGTGCCCCCACCCAGCCACCCCCTGTCCCTATGTAGCTCTGCACCCCTCCCCCATCACCATGTGGCCCTGCACCTCCACTCCCATTCAGTCCCTGCCCCAGTCTGTCCTCCCCCACTAGCCCTTATGAGCCCCTGTCTGACCCCTCCCCATAGCCCGTCTCCTAACCTGGCCCACTGCGAAGAAGGCAGGCTCTTTCTCTTCCCTTGCTGGCGGGGAGCTGCTGCTTTGTTCAATTGCCACAGCACCCTCTGGTGGGCAAAAGGCAGTACTGCAGCAACATTTTGGCAGATGCTTTTGTCTGTGCAAAAATTTTAAAATATGCAGGGCGTATTAATTATGCACACGCACAGTAGCGCAGCATTCCCCCAGAAGCAAAGAACACCTTTGTGCCTCTCCGCTCTGAGCTCTCAGGAAAGGTAACGGGCCCTGTGGCAGCTCTTCTGTGCTCCTCTTCTGTTTACTTCCGATCCTGCTCTGAAAGTCGGTACCTCCTTTGTGTTCTGCACTCGCCTGACGCCACGCACGTACTGCATGGGTTTTTCAGAAATATTTCAATGGTTGGTTAGCTGTGTTAGCTATTTCCCGCAGGTCTAAACTGGCTAACGTGTCTGTGTTCGTGCTTTCCTGATAGCGAAGGCCGTTTACCCGGGGGTTTTGCTTGGCACCTGAGCCCTGGGGTAGCATCACATTGTCCAAACCTGTTTTGTTTTGTCTGTCGCGTGTAAATGACGGCTGAGTGTATCTGCCGTTAATGGTCCTGTTCTTCCTCTCCATGCTACTGTGCCTGTCTTCAGTTCTTCTCTCAGGGCCTGGTCTACACGACGACTTTAATTCGGATTTAGCTGCGTTAATCCAAATTAACCCTTCACCCGTCCACACTACAGAGCCAGTTAATTCGAATTAAAGGGCACTTAAAATCGATTTCTGTACTCCACCTCGACGAGCGGAGTAGAGCCTAAATCGATTTTGTTAATTCGAATTAGGGTTAGTGTGGCCGCACACCACCGAATTACTGTGTTTAAATTAATGGGGTAGTGTGGCCGCACACCACCGAATTAAGGTGGTTAAAAACCGAATTAAGGTGCTTAGTGTGGCCGCGCACAATCGAATTTATACAACCTGTTTCCCAAATTCGAATTATCTAAATTTGGATTAATCCTGTAGTGTAGACATACCCTCAGGGCCTTAACAGCACCCTGGAGTATAATGAACCCTGCTTCACGCTGTCATTTGTTATCTATGCATAACAATCCAAGAGTGGCTCCGTCTGGCCCCGTCTCCTGGTCAGTGGTTGGAAAGCAGCCTCCTTTGATAGTCATTTAATTGGTCGGTGAACCCCGGGGAAAGGAATGTACCCCTGAGACTGGCTGAACAGAGTCGGCATCTGGGCAGTGCTGCCTGGGCCTGGGAAATGCCCAGAACTTTCAAACCTAAAAGTCATAAAGGGCAGTGTAATGCTGGAGAGAGTGGATTGGAAACCTGGCTGCCTGACATGGACACTTTCCATCACTCCTAGTAAACCAGAAACGCCCTGGAAGAGCCACCGCTTTGATCCAGCGTCCTCTGTGGGCGGAGGAGCTCTACAGAGCTCCTGCTCTTCTTAGCTAGACAGGCCCAGAGCGTTCAGGCTCTGCAGCTCGCTGTCTCGATGGCACCTGCAGCCACCTCCTGTCAGAGAGGAGAGCACGTCCGCCGTTAGGGAACTGGCTTTGGATGATGAGAGCTGTGTGTGAATACGAGGGCTCATGCTGCTGTTGCTCTCCATCTGGCTTGGCTACCAGTGGGTCTGAGGCTTCAGGTGCCGTTCAAGCCCTTCTATCAGTCTGTTCTATTCCCAGTTCCCGTCCCTCTGTCATCGCTGTAGCATGTGCCGCCACCACAGAAACCAACTTCTGCGTGTCACACACATGTAGCTCTCGGGGCTGAATGGGGTTCTCCTGGGGACGTCTGTGGAACCTGCAAGAGGCGTTTGCGATAGGGGATGCCTGTGGGAACGTGTTTGTGCTGAGATGCTGTGTAACCCTATGGAGCCCCCTTGCCCTCTCCTGTCCCTCTGCTAGGCTGTTTTCTTACACTCCCACCTTGGCTAGTTCCTGCCTTGATTTAACTCGGCGCGTCCATGAATCTCGTGACCGTGCTCACGTCTAGTTTGGGCTTCCCTGTGAGCCTGTACACGTGCCTTGCTCGGCGCCGTTTGTGCCATCCCTGACCGCTGTTTGCTCACTCTGTGGTGCCAGTTCACGTGCTGCCCACACTTTGACGTTGGATGGCTACCCCCGGGTCAGAGCAGGGACCGCCAAAGCCCACCCAGCGCGCTGCAGCGGTTGGTGGGGTCAGGGTGCTCCCATTAGTGCCAGGTGAAGTCAGAAATGAACTTCCAGCTTAGAGCCCCCGGCTGTTCCGTCCGTGCTGGCCCTGGGCGCTGACAGCCGGCTCTGTGCTGTTCCAGGTACTGGCTTACTCCGCTGTCTACAGCTACTACAACCAGGACACCGAGAAGATGGATGTCATGGAGCAGCAGACGGAGAACCTGGAGCTACACACCAATGCTCTGCAGATCCTTCTGGGTGAGGGGATGGTGCTGCGGCTTGGGGGCAGGCAGGCGGCTGCGCAGTGAGGGAGGCGTGCTCACTGACTCCTTAGCTCTGTCCTGGTATTGGGTTGGAGGTGTCCCATCCAGGAGCTGCTCTGGCCTGGTTCTGCTTAGCTTATCCGCCTGGATCCAGTCCAAAGGAATCAGATACAGATTTTTAACCACTGGGACAATTTACCGAGGGTTGTCCTGGAGTCTCCATCAGTGTTCACCTTTAACCCGTGGTTGGCTGGGTTTCTAAGGGAGCTGCTCTAGCTCAAACAGGAGTTCGTGCAGGGAAGTTCTGTGCCCTGTGCTATACAGGAGGTCAGACTCCATCACAGTGGTTCCTTCTGGCCTTGGAACTTGGGAATCTGATCTGGCTGCTGGCAAGCCAAGGCAGAGCAAGAGGGAGTCTCCATCACTCCCTCCGCCGCAGCCCTGCCAGAAGGAAGGCGGCTGCCAGCAGGCCACCTAGCGAGTGCGCTGTGACGGCGGCCTGTGTGTGTGGCCCCGTTCACTTGGGGCATACGCTCTCGCTTCTGGTGCCGGGTCCCTGAGTAGGGATGCTGTGTAACGCTGCCTCTCTTGTGTTCCAGAGGAGACTCTGCTGCAGTGTCAAGACCTGGCCTCCTCCATTCGGCTGTTCAAAGCCGAGCATTTTAACACTGGCCTGGAGCTGGTGCGCAGGATCCAGGAGCGGCTCCTCGCCATCCTGCAGCACTCCACTCAGGTACCAGCTGCAGGAGCCTCGCCACTTCAGCTGGGGGATGCGGTGGGTGGGTGGGAGGGAAGGGCAGGCTTTGTCCCCTAAGTTGTGCCATGGAGTGTGAGTGGGGGCGGGAAGGGGGCAGAGTGCCCCACCTCTGTCTCTTGTTCTGACTGTTCCATCCTGGCAGGATTTCCGCGTCGGCTTCCAGGCCCGGCCAGGCTCCGACCAGAGGGAGATGAAGTTGTCAAATGTGCCTAATGCCACCCCACCTTACAAAGAGTGAGTTTCCTTCTCGGGGGACACTGGGGCGGGGAGGGAGGGGAGGAGTAGGATGCCGCTGTTTCCGACTGGATGCCGAAGTGTTCGTGACGCCAGCTCAGGGCTCCCACACCTTCCTGGGTGTACACTGTCGCCGTGGGAGAGGGACCAGGCAGCCAGTGTGCATCTGTGAGCAAAGCAACCCCTAAAGAATGGGAAGGCGAATAACAATAGATGGCAATGCCACTAGAGAAATCCCTGGGGTGGCCTCCCCTGGAGACTGCGCGCAGTGCTGGTCACCCCATCTCACCCAGAATAGTGCAGAGCTAGAGGGGGGCAGAGAAGGGCGACGCGGACGGCCAGGGGCCTGCAAAGCTCTCCTGTGAAGACAGACTGAAAAGATCGGGACTGTTTACTTTAGAGATGAGACCGAAGGGGAGATGGTAAAAGTCTATGACGTGAAGACTGGGACAGGGAAAGCAGATGAGGCGCTTCGGTTCTCCCTGTCTCCTAGCGTGAGAACAAGGGAAATTCAGATCCTTCACAGCAGGTGAAAGGAAAGCCTCTGTCAGCTGTGATCACACTGCAGACTTGCTGCCGTCGGCTGGCTGAGGCCAGAAACGTAGCAGGAGTCAGCAGGGGAATGGCCCCTTTCTGTGGCTAACGAGGAGAGCGATTGTAGCTGATGGAAGGGATGGGAAACCTCCTGCTCAGGGCTGGACAGTCTCTAGCTAGTAGGGATCAGGAGATCACCAGATGCAGGGGGCCAGTTTTCACCCCTGCCTACTGCCGGCCCTGATGTCAGAGCCCGGAAACTGGCAGCCAGGTCTGCTCCAGTCTGCTCATTGCTGTGGGCCTAGGGAGCCACGCTGGTGGATCCGTGGGCTAAGGGAAAGGCAACCAGAGTGGATCTCCCCGCTTCCTGAGGGCAGGGTTTTGAATTCTTTCCAGAGGCCTGGGCTCTAGCCATTGGCAGAGCTGGTGTGCCAGACTTTGTGATTGGTGGCTCCATCAGGCCTGGCAGGAGATAGGCTGTCCCAATGCAGAGGGCCCCGATCACCCGACTCCTAGGGGACACTGCAGCCTCTGACTGCGGCGCTTTTCTCGGGCTGGGGAGCCAGACAATGCCCCCGATGGCCCATGAGTGTGGTTGGAGGGGAAGGACGCCAGGCCCGTCTCTGAGCTCAGTTCTGCATCCCGGACCTGCCCGCCTGCCTGAGGCTCGGCTTAGGCAGGAAACGCTTGGCGTGCACCCACTCTCTTCCTTGCTTCTGCGCAGGCTGAAGTTCGATGGGGCGTCCGACTCCCCTGACACAGACGAGGGGGCCAAAGAGGAGGAGGAGGAGGAAGATGAGGAGTACGTCCCGGAGTGGCAGGAGGAGTATGATGATGAAGACCTTGATGACGACAACTTTTCCTATGACGATGAATCGGAGAATCTAGAGCGCGATTCCTTCTTCTTTGACGACGAGGATGAAGCTTATGACTAGAGGTGGCCCCCGTGCTGCTGAGCCCATCTTAGAGCCTAACGTGACACCACCTCTCCTCTGCCAGCCAGCTCTGCACACACCACCACTCCCTGCTCTGCCCCAGCCATGCTCGGGGGCCCCCAAACACCAGCAGGGGCTGTTCGCTAGTTTCCAATAAAGGGAAGTTTCCTTTTAGGGCTGGTTGCTCCGTGACTCTGTTGAACTTGCTTGGCCACTGTCCCTGGGCCCAGGTCCCACAATGCCCTTACCAGCCCTGGCAAGAGGGGATTACCTGTTACCTCTGCTCCTTTTCCAGCACGTACCCTCCAGCATACGGCAGGCCCCAGTGGATCTCAGCAGAGCAGCAGCTGGCAGCCTGCAATGGGGGCAGCTGTTTCCTTGAAGGCCTGGCCCCTGGGGAGGGTGGACAGGCCCAGTTGGGGGTGTGAAGAGATGCACTGTGTGCAGTGCCCCATCCCTTCCCCAGTAATAGCGTTCCCACCTGCCTGGCTCCTGCCGTCTCAGCCCGGCACGCCAGGAAATAGCATCTCCCAGCCCAGGGGCGGATCCCACACGCGGACTCCTGGTGCCAGCAGTGCCTCTGGAAGTAACGTACTGCCTCTGGCCCTGGGTGAACTCGCCGGTCACACTCGGTGAGTGAGAATTTCACAGTGCGGGGCCGCTCCCATCCGCTGCACTGCATCTTCCAGAATGGGGGCAGGCCCGGCAGGGCAGTGCACACAGCAGCAGGGGGAGGTGGGGACGGTTCTCAAACTGAGTGTCCAAACTGGAGCCAAAGTGCCCCCCGGAGCTGCCTGGGGGCTGGGCGCGGCCACCCCGGCCCGGCCCGGCTGTGTGTGTTTTGGGCCTGGAGGGGCGCGTTGTCTGTAACTGCATTTTTGCTCATTTATCATTGGAGCTGTGGCCTTTTCTGGCGTGAAGGGGGGTCGTGCGGGAAGGCTGTATAGATAGTATAAATATATATATATATATATGTGCAGAAGCTGTCATTGTTCACAGATTATGCTTTATCTTTCTGGAAAAGAAAAACCCTACAGATACAACTTCCGTTTATGAAATAAACGGCTTTTCTTCTAGCACCGGCCTCCGTGTCCTCCTGTGGGGCTGGGGGGGACCCCCAGAAGAGCCCAGTCCATCTGTCAGAGCAACCGGACATGGCCCTGTTGCTTCACGAAGGTGCCTCAGCCACGGTCCTCCAGGGGGTTAGTGGTGGAATGAGGAGAAAACCCGTCTCCAGGCCCTGGACCGTGCTGCATGCTCTGAGCCATAGTCAGAGCCGGCCTCTGTCCAGTCGGACAGTAGCTGGGAACTTGTCAGGATATGGCAAAGAATCCCCACCCCGCCCCTGGCTCGTGTGGGAAAGAAACGATTTCTCAGCAGGAATCTGCCCCTTGGCCCATGTCATGCACCCGCTCACTCTAGATCAGGGGTAGGCAACCAAAGGCGGCACGCGAGCTGATTTTCAGTGGCACTCTCACTGCCCGGGTCCTGGCCACCGGTCCGGGGGGCTCTGCATTTTAATTTAATTTTAAATGAAGCTTCTTAGACATTTTAAAAACCTTATTTACTTTACATACAACAATAGTTTAGTTATATATTATAGACGTATAGAAAGAGACCTTCTAAAAACGTTAACATGTATTACTGGCACGTGAAACCTTAAATTAAAGTGAACGAATGAAGACTCGGCACACCACTGCTGAAAGGTTGCCAACCCCTGCTCTAGATGTTCCTGTCCCTCTGGCTTGTGCTCCAGCGATCCCGCTGCCCTCCTCTGTCTCCCTGGGCCACTGATTTGGGGCCACCTCTTCCCCGTAGGGACAGGGGCCTGTGCTGGTTAGAGCTGGCAATGCCAGGGGGTGGTGGGCCCACCCTCTGCTCTGCATTTATGGTCATTCTGGGAACAGAGACCCCAGGGGGACCCTGGAGCCCTGCAGCCTCATTCTCCCCTCCCTCCGTGTGCGTCTCAAGCATTGAGCTGTGGACACTGGCTCTGCCTATCCTGTCTCGGGCGGTGTTTCTGTCTGAGCTCCAGGTAGAGCGTGTGCGATCCTGCTGCCCCTTCATACACACGCATTGGGCAGCTTTGCTAATGCTGGCTTGGCCGGGCCGCCAGGAGGCCCGGGCATCCCACTGCGGAGGGACAGAGCTAGGGAGCGTGGATTGTGTAGAGACCCTGGAGGGAGGGCCAGCGCTCCCTGCAGGAAGTGTACTCCCAGAGCCGGGCGGCTCTTGCTGCTCCAGCGGGGGCGATGCGGCTGCTGGCGCGTACCTGAGCCAGGTGGCTGCCTGGGAACGAGGCTAGTGTGGATACAGCCTTGTATCCCAGCAATGCGCGTGCCTCTGTGATTCTGACTCCGGCCAGGCCCACACCTTTCGCGCTAAGATCCTGGGCCCACCACGGCTACGTTGACGCCGCAGACAACGTTAAAACAGTGATACCAAAGGTAGGGGGCAGGGGAGGGTTTTCTGCAGAGCCTCCGGCTTACTTGGTTTCTTGGCAAACACCCAATAACATTCGTTCTGAGGTTGCAAGTTTACTGAGCAAACACAATCGTTCTAAAGGGCCCTGGGATGGGTTGAGAGGGAAGGCCCGGCCACGCAGTCTGTTGGGGAGCAGGCTGGGCCCCCTGGAAAAGCTAGGCGGCGGTGTAGCCATGTTGGGAGAGGGACTGGGGGCCTCCAGCCTGGTGCTGGCATAGAGCTCACACTGCAGGCACACGGGGCCGTTCTCTCCAGGGAGCCTGGCCCTGCACCCCTGGGCGAGTGGGAGTCACTCACTTGGGCTGCTCCCCTTCCCAGGGATGGGGGTGCTGGATCTCCACGAGGAAACAGAAGCTGTGCTGGCTTTGGGAACGATCAGCCACCGTGCAGCACAGGCTCATCCCCAAACCCAACAGCCCCATTAGCTCTGCATGGGGGAGAGACCCCAGGCCTCCTGCAGCTGGAGGGCTGGACACCTCCCCGTCACTGAGGGCTCCTGCACCCAGCCTGCCTGTGTGTTCCCCACTGCCAGGGGCCTGCATGCATTCCCTGTTCTGCGGGGGCTCGGCTCTCCCGGGCCTGTCTCGCTGGCACGGCTCTACCCCGTCAAGCCTCGCACGCGTGGCGGCTGCCCTCTGCCCCTTGCGCCAGGCGGGCTGAGGGCGGAGCCATGGCCGGGGAGGGGTTAGTTTGGCTGATGTGTGGAAAGGCGAGGGCGGAAGTATCCGGTCAGTGGCCTTGCTGCCCCGCTCAGGCGCCATTTTCCCTGCTCATTCCCCACCTCTCTTCCACGATACTTCTGGCCCGAACCCACCCCTGCACCCACCGCATGGCCCTCGTCACACCAGGTGGGGCCCTGTGCTCCCTTTCTGTCCCCGCCCCCCCCCCCCCCCGCCAACCCCCGGCCCACACTCAGCCCCCCCCCGTGCAGCTTGTACCCCCCCAGCCCAGCCCACCACCACGCAGCATGACACCAGCTGGGAGGCAAGCAGCCGGGACACGTCTCTAAAGGGCGTTTCCGCAGACGGATTTGTAAGGCGCCTTCCGGGGCGTTGACACAGTATTAGCCAATTTCTTGGTCGGCCACTAGTTCGGCCTCCCACGCGGCTGGCTCGAATTCCAGTCAAACCCGTGCTTGGGGTGTGGGCCCGTGCAGCCGGCCCTGCCGGCCCCCAATCCCCCCAGAGCCCTGGGGTCAGCTCCCCTCTGTACCCCGCCTGCCCCCAATCCCCCAGGGCCCAGCTCCCCTTTGTGACCTGTGTGTCCCCAATCCCCCAGGGCCCCGGGGCCGGCTCCCCTCTGTGCCCTGCCTGCCCCCCAATGCACCTGGGGTCCCCCAGGAGCCCCTAGTCCCAGGCTGTTCAGCATGTCTGGGCTCCAGTTACTTGTTCCATGGCCAAACGCCCATTAGTATTTAATGGCCCAGCTCGAAACAAAACACGGGGGGCTGAGCCTCGTACCTCCAGGGGGGTCTCCTGCTTTCCCAGCGTGGGTCAGGGACTGGCATTCGGCATTGTCGTTCGCCTTACTTATAACAGCCCTCTTTTGGGGCCCGTTTTTCCCAGCCTTGGCCTGAATGGCTGCCATTAATCGGTGTGCTGTTGCCAGGTGCCCCCGGCTTACAAGGCGAATAGAACACGTCAGCTGCTCCAGCCAGACTCCTGGCTGTTCGGCAGCTCTGGCCCTTTAAGGAAACCTCCAGCGGCTGCTTTGAGTCTTTGACATCACCAGCTCCTGGTACAGTGTTCATTTCTGTGAGCACCGCGGGTCTCTGGTCAGCTTGTTCAACCCGAACCCTGGGCTGGGCCCTGGGGGGGTGGGGAGTAGACGGGGTGCAGAGGGGAGCCAGCCCTGGGCCTGGGTGATTTGGGGAGCAGGTGGGGGGCAGTGGGGAGCCGGCTCTGGGGCCCTGGGGGGGGTTCGGGGGCAGGCAGGGTGCAGAGGGGAGCCAGCTGTGGGTGGTTTAGGGGTAGGTGGGGGGCAGAGGGGAGATGGCCCTGGGGGTTGGGGGCAGGCGGGGTGCAGAGGGGAGCCGGCCCCAGGGCCTGGGTGGTTTGGGGGCAGGTGGGAGCAGGCCCCAGGGGGTTGAGGGTAAGGGGGGGCGAAGAGGGGAGCCGGCCCTGGTGGGTTGGGGGGCAGGCAGGGCGCAGAGGGGAGCCGGCCCTGGGGGGGGCGGGAATCCCACCCCTGCTGCCAGCCTGCCCTCACACTGGAGGAGGGGGCCGCCACTCCAGGCGGGGCTCAGCCCTGACCAGGTGAGAACAGGGCATTGGCTGCAGCCCACCTGTTTTGGCAGGGGGCGGGGCTGGGGAGAGGCCACACCTGGACAGCTGAGCCCTGCCCGGCTGCTGTTGCTGGGAGGAGGCTTAAAGACAGCCTGGCCCTGGGGTCGGGGCCTCGTCCCAGGCCCAGCAGGGAGCTATGGCCCACTCGGGGACCCTAGTGACGGACGCCAGCTGCCGCAGCCCAGCCTGTGCCCCCTCCAAGCGGCAGGGCAGGAGGTACCTGGCTTGGGACTGAGAGCCTGGGGGGGCTGTTTGGACTCATCATTGGGGTAGTGAGTGTTCCTCTGTGCTGGGGGCTCAATGCATTGGGCTGGGGGGGGTATGTGTGATGCCTCCTGCCCTCCTTGATGCCCATTGTAATGATCGGGGGGTTGTATGGGCCCAAAAGCACAATTGGGGTTACAGCTAGCAAGGGATGTGAAGAGTAACAAGAAGGGTTTCTACAGGTATGTTAGCAACAAGAAGGTGGTCAGGGAAAGTGTGGGTCCCTTACTGAATGGGGGAGGCAACCTAGTGACAGATGACATGGAAAAAGCTGAAGTACTCAAAGCTTTTCTTGCCTTGGTCTTCACAGACAAGATCAGCTCCCAGACTGCTGCACTGGGCAGCACAGTATGGGGAGGAGGTGAGCAGCCCTCAGTGGTGAAAGGACAGGTTAAGGACTAGTTAGAAAAGCTGGACATGCACATGTCCATGGGGCCGGATGCGCTGCATCCGAGAGTGCTGAGGGAGTTGGCTGATGTGATTGCAGAGCCAGTGGCCATTATCTTTGAAAATTCGTGGCGATCGAGGGAGGTCCCAGATGATTGTAAAAGGGCAAATATAGTGCCCGTATTTTAAAAAGGGAAGGAGGAGAATTTGGGGAACTACAGACCGGTCAGCCTCACCTCAGTCCCTGGAAAAATCATGGAGCAGGTCCTCAAGGAATCAATTCTGAAGAACTTGGAGGAGAGGAAGGTGATCAGGAACAGTCAACATGGATTCACCAAGGGCAAGTCATGCCTGACCAACCTAATGGCCTTCTATGAGGAGATAACTGGCTCTGTGGATATGGGGAAAGAGGTGGACATGATATATCTTGACTTAAGCAAAGTTTTTGATACGGTCTCCCACAGTATACTTGCCAGCAAGTTAAAAAAGTATGGATTGGATGAATGGACTATAAGGTGGATAGAAAGCTGGCTAGATCATCAGGGTCAGTGGGTAGTGACCAATGGCTCCATGTCTAGTTGGCAGCCAGTATCAAGCGGAGTGCCCCAGGGATCAGTCCTGGGGCCAGTTTTGTTCAACATCTTCATTAATGATCT